CTCTCCCCATCTTAAAAAAAATCCAGATTTTCGGCATCCCGGAGGAGGCAGTTCCGATCTGCTCACTGTTCGCGGCTGACCTTACAATCTTGGCTGATGCCACACACCAAAACATGGAGGTAATTTAGAGACTGATGGATCTTTTCGGCACCCTCTCTGACATGGCCATCAATTGGGGACAGAAAACAATAGGATGGTGGCTCCATCATCAAGGGGGCCGCCCGCCGGAAGGACACCGAGTTTCCTGGGCAGCCCCGGAAACCCCAATACGAATCCTGGGAGTTAAGATGACAGCCTTGGGTAAACCCTTTGAGAACGACACATGGCTATCAAGTCCGGTATTTGCCAAACTATCACAATGGAACCATCAACACACATCCCTCTTCGGTCGGGCCTTGATTATTAACAATGTAGTTTTAACCACCTTGTGGTACAAATCAGTTCTTTGGCCGCTAAGTCCAGACGCCCAGAGAACCCTGAAGAAAAAGGTGGCAGCCTACTTATGGAGAGGAGACAGCGAAAACCCCAATGTCATAAGTAGGGTGGCGTGGGACTCAGTCATACAACCTAAGGCAAAGGGTGGCCTTGGTATTTTAGACCCTTTAGGTCAATCCCAAGCCCTCAGTCTACAGTGGGTGTTACGATTATTCTTTGAAAATCCCTCGGTGTGGAGGCCACTCGCATCAGAACAAATTGCACGGCTAGCCCCTGAGGCCCCCCGGACCATCCACCCACTCCGTTGGCTAGACAACCGTTATTGGAGGATTCCACAACACTCGCGGGGCACGGAGGGACGAGGAGACGATTTCTGGCCCTGCTTGTTAAAAATCTGGAGGAAGCTCCCACCCCTAGATCGCTCCCCTCCTGTGCGGTGGGAAGAAGTGGCAAGACAACCCCTTTTCGGGAACCGGTGGATTTCCAATGAACACGGTCAGATTTTTTGGAGCTCTGATACCCCATGGAAAGGATGGGTGAAGCATGGTGTGTTGAAAGTAGGAGACCTCTGGGATGAGGGAAAGAAGGATTGGAAGACCCCGGAAAGGTTGAGGGAGGAATTAAGATATTGCCATAATGTAGAGACTGCCCTGGAGGAAATAACGGAGGCCCTCCCGGTGGGGTGGAGGCTCATCTTACGCAAAGGAAGGGTGCTAAAGGAAGGGGACTGGCTTGCCAAGAAAGGGCAGGGGAACAAGGTTGGGCTTACACAACCCGACCGGAGGAGGCACTGATAGAATGGTACAGTGTGGAAGGGAACGGAAGATTAGTAGGGAGCAACGACCCCTTCCAGTGGATTCAAAAGAACGAATTACACAGAATCCGGGTGCTAGAGGACGGTGATCAAAGGCGGGCGTTCTTTGCAGAAATAGCTATAGACGCCCTCCCCATTGATCCCTTGGAATGGGTGTGGAACCCGGATCCAAACTTCCATCCAAAACAATCTAAGATCAAAACCTTGTCTGGTCTCACAGTCAAATCAGCATATCGTATGTTGAGGACTAAACGTTGTTTAAAAGACACAGTGGTCGATCGATGGCAAAGGCACCTCAACGTAGATCGTCACCTTCTTATTCCATTAGATGGTTCGGCGACACTAAGGGTAAACCCGCGAAAATCACATCGCTGCAGTGGAAGATCCTGCATCGGTGCCTTCCCACCAATAATTGGCTAATCGATCATTCACAGTTAGAACAACAGGGCCGAGCACTCCCTTGGTGCGCTCGATGCCAGCAAGGTTTTCCGGGTAGAAAGAGAATTGAAACAATCGAACATATATTTCTACAATGCCCTGTGACTATTCTAATCTGGAGGTGGTGGGACAGGGTGTGGCAACAGATTGTCCCCGGGTGACCGTGGCCGTGGGATTGGAGGGCTATTTTATTGGGACATTACCCACCCTTCCAAGATGATATCTTCCTAAGGAACATGTTCCATCTGGCCAGACGAACGATTCTGTGGATCCTGTGGTGGCAACGATGTGTCCTAACTCTAGACCATGTTAGGGTAGAGGGCGAAGAAAGGATGGATCAACTTAAAATGCACTTCCAATTTGAGCTTTCCCATCGATGGAAATCTTTGAAACAAACGCTAGACAACCTCCACAGAATCTCTGATGTCAGGGAACGGCTACTACAGTTCTCAAGGGAATGGTTGGGAGGGGACCGGGGCGGCTGGGTAGCGGAGGTACACTGGTCAGGGTCGTAGGAAGGAGAGGGGGGGGGGGAGGGTGACCCCCAAGAACAATTGCCTAGGGACTACCACCTTAAATTTAAGGAATGGCTGACTGTGAATCCCAATATCCGTATGCGCCCAGCCGAAGAATTCCCAGACCCGTTTCCCCCCCACCCATATGCCTTGGAAGTGAGTTCCTGTAACTAACTAACATATATAACACATATGAGATGATGTAGTCATTCCTGCTTCCCTCTCTCCTTCACGGTCTTTCCCCCAATCCCGGTCCAAGAGGTGACGCTGCCCTCCCTGCTTGCTCTGAACCAGGCTCATTCACCCGGGCACAGATATGAGACGATAGGAAAGCAAGTCTGTTTTTTTGTGGTTTCAGCCCCATCAACTCTGATCTGGTGTCGCTCTGTGTCACAGCCTGGGGGACGGTTCTAGGACAGGAATGACGAACATCTTACAAACTTACGTTCTAGGCATCACTTGGTGTCAAAAAGGGGGGGGGTTGGATTTTTGCGGAGAGATGATGGGCATGGGTACGGAAGGAAACACCGGTGCCCCCCAGTGTTCCTCCCGGACCCCTGCCCGGACACAGGAAAGCGGAGGGAGAAGGAGGTATTCCAGGCCTGCAGGCGAATCAGTCTGATATCGGGGGACCACTCAGGCATTCAAGAAGCAGAGGCATATGGTTACGCCCTGCAAGCTCTCATCTCCTGAAGATAGCATTCAACCCTTTTATGGGCAGCATACATCGCAGTCTTTTTCTACCACAGCCTGTGTAGTGGCAGGAGTTCTTCTGGCCCTTTTATTTCTGTCAAACGCCCTGCTCAGTCAATCCCCTGGGGTCCAGGGTTATCAATGCTGGCAGGAAACCACGAATTTGTTCGGTTTTGTTCTGATTTCCGTCTGTATAAGGGACGCTGGACCCATTTTCCAGCAGGTGACGCTCCCCACCAATAGATGGAGCCTCTCCCCGCCTGGTAGTGGTGTCTGCTCTTATCAGCATCACTACCATCGGCAGGGGTGTTGTTTAAAAAAAAAAAAAAAAAAAAAAAAAAAGATAAAAAAGGTAATCCCCCCTGGCCATCGTAACTCAGTGTCGCGCATAGTAACTGAGTCGGAAACCGTGACTCGCTCCACTACTAAGGATATGCACAAATGACAAAAAATATGGCAGTGTCTCTTCCCATGTTCTAGCAGAAGATTCATTGTCATTTTGCACATTTTGTGAGTAGATCAGGGAGGCCCATGATCTGACCAGGGGCTTGGTGACCAGCCGCTCTTCAGGGACACCTTTAGGGCCTGCTTGCACTACTCTCCATACTCCAAGTTTGGCCAGTAGGCGCCTGGTTGCACTTAGAGCCTCGTTCCACACCACTAGAGAACTCTTCAGTTTCAAGTGGCACTGAGCCCTAATCACAAAATCGTGATTAATTTACACTACGCCGCCTCGTCTTTCCATGTGCACTAGAGGCCGCCCTTAAAAAGTCGCACTTGAAACAAAAACATCCTGGATCCCCATTGTGTGGATACCTGCTGGCAGCCGAGCGATCCAGTACGTCGGCACCCGGCCAAAAAGATGTCCGCCTGTGGTCCGGTGTTTGGGACTCCAAGGACCGGCCTGGGGGGGAGGTGAGATGAGAGCACATGCACACCGGGTTTTGAAATTTAAACTTTTGATAGGCGCAGTGCAGCGCCCTGCGCCGTCTATAACGCTCCCAGGTGGACATCGGTCTGTGTACTCCAACGCGTGCGTGTGGGCCCACACACAGTAGGGCGCATGCGCATGCACACAAATATATATATATATATAAAATTTGTGACGATATATATATATATATAAAATATAAAAAAAATGAAAAGAGAAAACTACGGCGCAGTCAGGGTTACAGTTTGTAATTGCATTTGAAACTGTGTCTTAGCACTATAGTCAGGGCCCGAGTTTCAATTGCATTTGAAACTGCGTTTTAGCAGTATAGTCAGGGCCCGAGTTTCAATTGCATTTGAAACTGCGTTTTAGCAGTTCGAAACTCAGGCTGGCTTTTTCTAGCAGTTCAGTCAGGCACATGGTGAGTGAAACTGCACATCATCGTCAGTATCATCATACAAGTGTTACTCCATGCTCAGCGAACGTCGGTTCACAAGAACCTAACACCCAATCATGGCAGACCACACAGCGTGCAAGAAGGGAAAAGAATAGAACACACACTGCGACACATCATCATCCTCCCGAACGTGACAGTAGGCATTAAAATAATCAAGTAAACCATGCCCACGAGCTGAAACCGAAAGTGAGCATCGTGCTCGTATCGTCAACATCAAGAACAGCTCTACGGCGGATGACCCGACATGTTTCATCCGGTCGCCGTAAGACCGGAACTCCTAAGGGGTCTGCGTCACGATGGAGTGATGACTGACGTATCGCTAGCAATTTAACGCAGACAAGAGCTGAACACCCCAAGAATAGACGCAAGGCAGACAACTCTATCGAAGCCCCTACTGGAGTCCCACAGGGGTACCGCCCAGGGGCCCTGACCAGAAAAACTCTCGGCTTAGTCGGGGTCCACGGTAATGCCCCCAACATCCACCAAGGGCAAAAACGGGCCCCATACTGCCACTCATCAAAAAATTCAAGGAAAGAGGCCCACTCAGCCCAACTTAGGCCAAGGGGATCGACGCAATCAGCTCCTACATATTAGTAATGCCCCCTGTCTACATGGGCCCAAAGAGATCCCTGACCTCGAAAATCCTTCGGGAGAACCCTGTCCCACCTCGTCAACCAGGGTACAAAGTCGTCCCAGACACCACCAAATTTGGACGAGAAGTTAACAAGTGATTTATCGAAGATCTCGTCCTTGAACCCCCGTAACCTCAATTCCACTTTCAGCGACAAAAGAAAGGCGACTTCCGCTCCGGGTACAGATGTGAACCGTTTGGCCCGATGCAGGAGCGACCCCACCACAGCCATCTTCTGCTGTTTGCTCGTATAAGAGCAATCATCTTGCAAATTTTGGAAGCGAATCCCGTCCTTCAACACCACTCTTTGGTTCTTATGAACAGCAACGCACTTAATACCGACTGGCCATTCAAACACATTCACAACGCAACCAAGAAAATCCCAACACTTCGATCTATCCGTGCACTCCAGGACCAGATTCTTATCGTAGCAGCCCTCAAACAACTTCATGATCTCCATGGCTCTGCACAAAGACTCATGATCAGATTCACGGTATCTCGCGAAAATGGACACATCGTCAATCAAGCGAACCCCATACACCAGTTGTCAATCAATACCGAGAGATGACAGAAAGGAGAACTCAGAGAAAATACATAACATGCAGGCAACTGCAGGGCTAGTGGGATTGCCCATGGGGATACCTGTCAACTGCTGCAGTCGTCGCCCACAAGCAGAGAGAAACGTATGTTCAAGGTCAAAACACGAGGAGTCCCTGATGGTGTTGAACTCCACCAGCTGACATCCTTCCTCACGCTTCCCTCGTAGAAGTTTAGCCCCTTTACCCCTTCTTTTAACCAACACTCCTCCCACTCCCTTCAACAACCAAAAGTCAATTAACCAATCCAAGGCATTTACAATAGAGTCGTGAGGAAGGTTGCAGAACATCTCCTTGACATCAGACACAGCAGTAAGCAACGCCTCCCCCTTCTTAAGATCCTTATTAATACGATCCAAGGAATCCACCAACAGATCCGTGCAATTCAAATTAAAATTAGAACGTTTTGGTAACTCCCAGATCAGAAGATTGATAGCCATTGAGATCTTTCGGCTAGCCCTCACACCACACTCCGAGAAGGAAGGGCAGATAGGTCTCCACCTAGACACATCTTTGTGCTTAGGAATTACGTAGGCTCTTCCCAGCTTACCCTGTTTATCCCATTTCGCAAACCCTTCCAATCCCATCTCTTCGTAAGTCCTTCGGGACACCTCATTCAACGCATCCTCTTCTTCTTCTCGGATGACGAACCCTGGGTTATTTAGGAACAGATTGTCCATCCCTTCACGATACTTGATAGGACAACATAGCACGGTGTCCCCAGCATTATGGTCGATAGGGGTTCTCACCAGCCCACACATCTTCTCCTTCCACACATTAACCTCCTCTTCCGTACACCAATCCTTCGAGTCCGCTCCCATGCTTTTCACACAACCCTTCAAGTCATTCCGTCGAATAGGGGATAGGCCGAAACCAGTTTCAAGGAAGGAGGCAGAAATCTCACTTTTCAAGCGACTAACCACATCATTTCTCATAGGTCGAGCAATGTTCTTATTGCTGCGCATCCACCCTGGCGCATCATCCCACTCATTCATGCGGAAAACAACATGGCCATCTACTCTTGGGAGGTGCAGAAGCGACGAACATGTGCATTCGCACACGCCCTCCTGTGCGTACTTCCGGAAGTTGAATAACAACGTACCCACACTCCGTTTTTTTACCCAAACAACCCTCATTCTCCGCACAGTCATTCTCTTCCACTCCTCATCTGCCTCAGCCCTCATAACCCAGTCAGCACAGAAGGCCCGAATGCCAGATTTACACAAAACTTCATCGTACGTAATCCGAATGATCAACCGACGCCTAACATTGACATCAAAACGTCTACGGATAACACCAGACAGAATCAAACGCAGCCGATAGCGGCTACGTTTCTCAGAAAAACTTCGAATCGCCGAGAAAGCCCTGACGAGAACAGGGAAATCCCAATTCCACAGATCCGTCCGAGAAGAAGGATCAGACAGAAGACCAGCCAGCGAAGGCTTCAACACCAGCGAACGAGACATAAACGGGACAATAGCCGAGAAGAGTAGGAAATTCCCAGATAGAAACAACCCTCTGCTCTTCCTCAACGGCAACACACAGTCTCCGAAATGAACCAGCGAGGAGCCAAATTTTCGTTTCAACAATTTCCAATTCTCCCCCAACCGATCACCACTTGCACACGCAATGCCTACTGTAGAAACCTTATTTTCCACACACTTCTCCAAGATAACAGATAACCTAGATGAGACAAGTCCAATAGTAGAGTGAAAAACCATATGAGTCCAACACACATGTTTCACAATGGTACCCCTCTCTAATTTCCTCAATCTTCTCCTTTCATGTTTGCCCAGACGTTTCCGCTTCACGTTCCTCCTTTTTTTATCTTTACTGTTCAGTTGCGGGCAAACCCAACGGATCACGCATTTCTCAAGGCGTAACAGATCCTCTTGGCTACAAGAAAAGAGGGGAATAGCGACATACTGCCCAACTCTACATCGCCTCAGCCAACAGTACAGCTGATGATTTCGCCCTCCCCGATCTATCACACGTGGATCAAGAGCCCGATATACATGTTCAGTCCACCTGACATGCAGAGAGCGGGCCGTTGACCCTACATAAACATGACGAGTCCATGGAGAAACCAAGGCATAAACAAGCGGCCCCTTGGAATTCTCAAAATCAAAATTCTCAGCCAGACGATCAGAAAGATAGCCTCTAAACTTATCCGCCCATGGGCCATGGGACCTGCCCCCTGACAATCAGAAGGACCACAAGAAGACGAAAGAAAGCATTGAACTCCCGATCTCGCAGAAAAAACTCCGTCGGTCGAGATTTACCAGAAAAAGCAACCGAAGACAACGTATCATCGACACCCCCAGAAAACGGAGAAGGTGAGGAAGGGTAGGCATCCACAATATCCCCACAACGCTTACCACGGCAGTAATTAGCTAGCGATCAAATACGAGTCACGCTCGGGACGTCCCCCTAGAGCTCAACACTCTGTTCATCGACATATTCGGAGGTACCAGCCGCCGTCTGCTCGTCATCGTCATCCATATTCTGCACCGAACGATCCTCCCCGTCCTCCTGACGCTTCTCCTTCTTCGGAAAGGCCTGGTTGGCCCGATACTCCGCAATAGCATCAATCGTTTCTTCGACTCGGCCAAGCTTAATCCCGGCCTCCTTACAATAAGGCTCCAATCCAGATTTCTTCAACGTACGTAACTGCTTCTTAAGATTCTCCACAAAGGCATGGCGATCGTTGACCGTATGACTTTTTCCTTTGTCAACAGCCTTCGCAGCTTCCCTCCCGGGAGTAGCCTTTTTTCCTTTCCTAGCAGAGCGCAGGGCAGCAGCTTCCAGTTCCTCCTTCAAATTCGTCCCACCAGTGGTCGGCTCATCGGCATCATCGGAGGCGGTCAACTTACTCAACCGCTCTTGCACGGCTTTTAACCTGTCTTTCGGCATCCATTCTTTTTTTCTCCGCATCAGCCCTTTTTGCCTTCAAAAGAGCAACCCCCGCGTCCGATACCTGCTGCATCCCCTGGATCTTCCGATATTCCTCCCGCCATTGGTCAGCCTGTCTTACGTTGTCGGTCCACCGTGGCTTAGGGTCACCTCTGTGAGAGCATTCCGGAGTAGAGACCGCCACATTCCCACGCTTATTACCTGGTCTAAGGCCTCCTCCTCAGCACACGAAGTCATATCCCGGAGCAAGTTGATTTCAGAACGAAGACAAGCAATCTCAGACTCAAAGTTGGTCTTAACATACGCCGAGCTTCTCAATTCCTCTATTACTTTCTTTAAGGCGTAAATCTCGTCGTTGTCCGTCTGTCTACTCGTAACTTGCCTTCTTAGCTCGGCAATCTCCCTTTGCAAGCGGAGAACCTTATCATCCTCTATCCTACTGACCTCTCCTCCCAGCTTCTTCTTAAGTTCATCATTCTCCCGTTTGAGTCGTGTCAACTCATCCTCCCCGCTTTTGCTACATCCGTCTCTCGTTTCGGTCGCCTTCTTCGATAGTCCCAACAACTCCAACCTCTTATCCAATCGTGCTCCCATTTCCAACTCAGGCTGTTCTCTCTCACGTTTCCACTCTAATTTACGATCCTCCTCTTCCTTTCGTAGCCTCTGCTTTTCCTCCTCCTCTTTACGTTTCGCCTCCTTCTCCTTATCCTCCAAATACTTATTGTAGCAAGCATTGAGGCGTTCTTGATTGGCTCTCCACCACCCAGGTCGAGGCTGTTGATACCCGCTGTTGGCAGCACCCACAGATCGTTGCGACATCGTCGGAGCAGCAGAGATCGAAGCGTTAGTGGCAGGATCAGGTAAGGCAAGCATCGGAGGACCGGTAGGCACAGCGTTAGCAACCGTGGGGCGAAACCCTCCGACACGCTGCGGACACTCCCTCGCCCAATGATTCATCGACCCACACTGGAAGCAACCTTCAACTGGACGTACCCCCGCCATAGTAACCAACAACACACAAAAACCAAGCGCCGTCCACGGATAGCACAGGGAAAACATGAATAATGATGACAAGAGCTACGAGTCACACTCTCGTAGTATGATCTCTACGATGGTTTCAACATCGTAATGATGGTGAGTGAAACTGCACATCATCGTCAGAATCATCATACAAGTGTTACTCCATGCTCAGCGAACGTCGGTTCACAAGAACCTAACACCCAATCATGGCAGGCCACACAGCGTGCAAGAAGGGAAAAGAATAGAACACACACTGCGACACGTCATCATCCTCCCGAACGTGACAGTAGGCATTAAAATAATCAAGTAAACCACGCCCATGAGCTGAAACCAAAAGTGAGCGTCGTGCTCGTATCGTCAACATCAAGAATGGCTCTATGGCGGATGACCCGACATGTCTCGTCCGGTCACCGTAAGACCGGAACTCCTCAGGGGTCTGCGTCACAATGGAGTGACGACTGACGTATCGCTAGCAATTTAACGCAGACACAAGACCTGAACACCCCAAGAATAGACACAAGGCAGACAACTCTATCGAAGCCCCTACTGGAGTCCCACAGGGGTACCGCCCAGGGCCCCCTGACCAGAAAAACGCTCGGCTTAGTCGGGGTCCACGGTAATGCCCCCAACATCCACCAAGGGCAAAAACGGGCCCCATACTGCCACTCATCAAAAAATTAAAGGAAAGAGGCCCGCTTAGCCCAACTTAGGCCAAGGGGATCGACGCAATCAGCTCCTACATATTAGTAATGGCCGTTTCTTTCTTTCTTGTGTTTTTTTTTTTTTTTTTCGGTCACGTGCCGCAATGCGCGCGCCGCTCCGCGGCTGGAAAAAAAAAAAAAAAAAAAAAAAAAACAGCCCCATGGTTTGGCCACGGCCGAGATGTCTCAGCCACACCCCAGACTGGCCACGGCCGAGATGTCTCGGCCACACCCCAGACTGGCCACGGCAAAGATGTCTCGGCCACACCCCAGACTGGCCACGGCCGAGATGTCTCGGTCATTCCCCAGATTGGGCAGGGCCGAGATGTCTCGGCCACAACCGAGATTCGCAGGCACTACGCTTCACAGGCAAACGCTTAGTCTCAAGAGTAGCCTACTCCTAAGAAGTGGGGGCCTCGGGGCAGGGATGGAGGCCGAAAAAAGAAAAAAGGAAAAGAAGAAATAAAAAAGCAAAGAAACGAGGAACTTCGAATCCACCTACGTCGGAAAGACCCTCACGTCACCAGTGTTTTAAGGAATGTACCTGCCTAGAAAGTGAGGAACATGAAACAGGTCGTTTTCCTTTTTTGTTTCCTGTTGTCAGGTCCTTGTAGCGCCCTGCCAGCCAGGCAGGGCGGATTCCACGCGAGGCAGCTAACTGCCTCTCTTCTTTCAGTTCCAAACAAGTACTGTAGCATCATGTATAGGACCGCAATCACAGCATAAGGGATGCTTTTTTTTATTATTCTTTATCGTCTGTTGGTGGATAGACGAGGGCCCTGAGTGAACTGCTACCAACTACAATGCCATTACAAACTGTAACCCTGACTGCGCCGAAGTTAACCCAAAATAATTGTGCGAGGATCTGGGTCCTCGGCAGGCCTAAGAGGGCCCTTCTGCAGATGCTCCAGCCTTAAGTGAAGGCAGGCCTAACAAATCACGAGAGGCCCTCAGCTGTCAATTTCGTAATTGGGGGTCCAGGTAGTTTCGACGCGCCAGTTGGTTGAGGGAAAAACGCAGGCCTAGCAGCAGAACATTCCACGGACTTCTGGGCCTTTCCAAGAATGCAGGCCCTGGGCGAGAATCACAGCCTCATACACTGACAATTGTGAGGCCCAACGGAAAGAGGCCCAGTGGCTGCAACACAAGCGCGGCATCCTGGGGCCTACCGGAAGCTTCTGGGCCCAGGCCAGTCCAGCCAGGCTGTGAAGGCAGGAGGCTCTTTCCATATAGGAAAGAGCTCACCACCGGCAGCCTCATTCAGGCACTTGCATGCTAGCGCTGCTGGAGCGGACGCTCGTGGGCTGCTGTTGGCGCTGAGAGGCGAGGTGCTAGCGCATGCGGTCGTGCAGGGAGCAGGGCGTTGCTGAGGGCAGCGCCATAGCCCAGCCTCCATAGCTGGTTGGGCTTGGACTACACTGAGGCGCAGGGGTGGTCTTCGGGTGTATAAAGGGACGACGTGGGAGTAAGACGAGGGAGAGAGAGAAGGATGATGATGATCATGGTGACGTGAGGGCACATACCTGGTATTGGCGATGGTCTGCATGGGCGACATCTTCAAGTACTTCGTTGGCTGCTAACGTCATGGAATCGATTAATCAATCGATTGATTTGATTGAATCGCATAAGTCCATTCTGAATCAATCGATTCAATCTATCAATCAACTCAATCGATTCAATTGATTGATTTGATTGAATCAAATCCTTTTTTTTTTTGGGGGGGGGGGGGGGGGGGTGAAACCATGAAACTTATAAAAGCGTGAGAACACTTTGCGGCACACATGCACACTCAAGAAAAAAAAATAAAAAAAATCCTACTAGCTTCAATCAAATCAATTGAAGTGATTGATTCAATTCATTGATTCGATTGAATAGCATGATTCGATATCAAATCAATTCATTGAATCATTAGATTCAATCAGTTGATTGGATTGAATAAAATCCCCCCCCCCCCCCCCTCTGTGTGTGTATGTGTGTGTGCGCACACTACTCTCTCAGTCTCTCTGTATGTGCGTACACGAGCACGCACACGCGCGCACACACACACACACACGCAGAAACAGGGGAAGAAGAAAGAAGAACGAAAAAAGTGAGGATGACCCCTACAAAGACAATTCGGAAGAACCCCCAAGGAAAACGCGGCGACAAATCTGTAGCAAGAGTAGATAAGTCATTCTACACCCATGCTCGAACCCATGCCTACGACAGCGTTTCCCTCGGAATGATTCAATCAAGGGATTGATTTTTTTTTTTTTTTTT